CGCCCCCCCCCCCCCCCCCCTTCGCCCTGACGTGGGCGTGTTGACGACGCAGGGCCCCGTCTGCGATCGGCGATCCCGTCTCGGTGGCGTGGGGCGGCACCGCCGGCGGCACCGCCTCTTCTCCACAGCCCGCGCCGCCGCAGCCAGCCTCTCTGCGGCCAGGGGAGGGGCGGGACGCGCCGAGCGGCCGCCCGATGACCCTCGCGGGCCCGGCGGAGGTGGCGGCCGCCGCAGACCGCCCTGCCCGCGTCGGCGCAAGCCCTCCCGCGGCCCGCGGCGCTCTGCCGCTCGAGGTGCTGGCGACGTGGGAGGAGGTGTGCGGCGCCGCCCTGCCGGCACCCCCGGGGGAGGGGCGGGTCTAGCCGCGCGGGGGCGGGGGCAGGGCGTGCGCGCGAAACGGGTCAGTGGATCGTCGTCCCGACGATTGGCGCCTCGCGGGCAGTCTCATGTGTGTGCGCAAGGATCGATCTCGCCTAGCTTTGTTGTGAGGCTGAGAGCGAAGTGGCAAAACATAGAGAGCAGGGGAGAGAGGTGTGTGGTGTTCTCGACGCGTCCGACCACACAAAGGTCAAAGCCGGACACCGGCGGCACCGTACGCGGAGAGCTCTCGCCTCTCCGACGATCAGCAAGCTCGCCACCTCTCGTCGTGCACCCGCCACGCCCCTGCCTCGCGACGCGACCGCGCGACGGCCGACACTGCCGACGCGCACGCGGCACGCCCCACGCGCGACGCGGCGGCGCACTCGGCGGCATCGCCCTCTTCTATCATGCGCCAGCTCAACCTCAAGGGGGTCACGCGAAGGGAGGCGCTGTTAGTTAGCGGCGGAGGAGGTGGAGCGTGGAGGCGGCCGCGCGGGCGGCGGAGAAGGCGGTGCGGGCGGTGGAGGGGGGGAAGGGCGGCGGCCGCGGGCGGCAGTCCCGTGAGGCACGCCGGCGGAAGGGTTCGTTCACTCGCGCCGTGGCGGCTGGTGCCTGGTCCCGTCTCCCAAGTGTGCGAGATCGCCCCCGGCCCCGCCGGCGCCGCCCGCCCGGCGTGGAGCTCCGGAGAGACAAGACCGCCGCCCCCGAGTGCCGAGAGTGCCGCCGCTGAGCGCCGCCGTCGTCGCTGGCGACGTCGATGACGAGCTTCGGCTCCGGCTCCGGTCAAAGCCGGCGGGCAGCTCGTCGGGCAGCTCGTGAGCAGCACGACCGTGACCGAGGCGTGCGCGTACCAGAGGTCCTAATGCACGGAATGTAAAGCCAACGTGCCGCGAGAGCGGTGCATGCTGTGGCGCTATCAGGGGAAGGGGGTGGGGTCGGCGTGAGCTCACCATCGTGTTCTCCAGCATGCGACCGAAGGCGGCCTTCTGCTCCCCAGAGCGGCTCTGCTCGTACGCGCGCCGCTCGGCGACCAGCCTCTCGCCGTCCGCCATGCTGCGCAGCGTCTCCTCGCTCATCGCGTACATCGCGCGCCAAAGCCTCGTGTGAGTGCCGCTCGGCGACGATCCGCTCGCGGTCCACGGATGCAAAGCCGGTGGTGAGCGCGGTGGTGACTACGGTGGCCGCGGCGTGGGTGACGGTGGTGACGCGTGGGTGGCCATCCTCGCCGCTGCCACACTAGCCGTCGCCACCCCCGCGCCGTCGCCCTCGCCGCCGCCGTCACCACCGCCTTGCTTGCCCCCGTCGCCCTCGCCGACTACTTGATTGCCACCCACGCCACGCCACCCCTCGCCCTCGCTGCCGCCTGCGCCGCCATTACCCACGCCATTGACATGCTGTCACCGGCGCCCCCACACTGCTGCCACCCACGCTACCGCCCTCCTCGCCGTCGCCCTCGCCGTCGACTTGCTCGCCACACCCACGCCGCCACGACACCCACGCCATTGCTGCCGCCCACGCTGCCATCACCCATACCGTTGCTGTCGCCGTTGCGTATCGCCCACACACGCCGCTGCCCACCCAATCGCTCTATTGCCACCCACACCGCTGCCATCCTTGCCATTGCCCACGCCAATCAATCGCCACCCACGCCGTCGACGCCCTCGGCCGCCCAGCCTCCGGGGCACCGCCGCCGCCTGCCCCTCTCCGCCACCCACGCCCCCCACGCCCCACCGCCCGCCCCCCACCCCCCCCCCACCCCTCGCCGCCGCCGCCGCCGCCTCCACCCACGTCACCCACACGCCCTTGCCCCCGCCCATTGCCCCCGCCCACACAACCCCTAGCCGCCCTCGCCACGTCGTTGCCCACGCCGCCGCCCCCTCAGCCCTTACAGGCGCCCTCGCCGTTCGACCTCGCCGTGGCGTTACCCACGCCGCCGCCCAACTCACCGCCACCGCCCTTGCCGCTGCCACACCTGGCCCACATACCGCCGGCGCCCTTGATTAGGCACCGCCGCCGCCCTCGCCACCGTTGCCCACAACCGGTTCCACGCCGCCGCCCACGCGCTACGCCGACACCGCCGCCGGCGCCGCCTGTGCCAATGCCACCGCTGCCCTCCCCACACGAGCACCCACCTCGCCGGCTCGCCGCCACCCATGCTGTCGCCGCCCTCACCCCTCTGCCGACCGCGCTACAACTGACACTAGCATCTGGCTTGGGGGTACTCCATGGCTTCACCCGTCCTGCGCCGTGTCTCATTGTGGCTCAGCGGCGCTGTCTCAGAAGCAAAGCGAGACGAGTCGCTTGGCGCAGCAACTATGCCGTTGTGCGACGGTGTATCATTCACTTTATGCCACCGTTGCATATCCTGCGACGGTGTATCATTCACTTTATGCCACCGTTGCATATCCGGATACATTGTGTCTCCGGCTTACGCGTCCCACCTTGTTTTTGATCTGCGATGCGCGCAGGCGACGGCGGACGAGCGTCAGCATAAGATGGGATGAGCGGGGCGCGGGTTGCGCTGCAGCGCATGGCCGGGCACGCTCGCGCAAGCGACAACACGCGCCCAAGGCGGGCAGGTGCACCTGGTGCTGGACGGGGGGCGCTTGCGTTTCTCTCGATTTCTCGCTTTCGGCCGCTCCCCAGTCACTCCCGGCCGGGGTGGGGCGCGCGCGGGGGGCGGCGGGTGTGCGGCGAGTGTGCGGGATGTCTGTGGGCCCGAGAGCGATATGCCATGTCCGCCTTCGAGTTTCATCATCGAAGGCAAAGCTCAAAAGAAAAACAGGTACTCGAGTACGATCAGGGTGCAGCACCCTGCTTGCCGACGCGAGTCGCTCGCTCTCTCCCGCTAAAGCCGCTCATCTCCATCATGGCCCTCGTCAGACTTGGCACGCTGCGCGCCTCTGCGCCGCTCGCGTCGCGCCTGCTGTGCACGGCGGCGCCGAGAAAGATCGCAGTCGTGCTCGCCGGCAACGGCGTGTACGACGGCTCCGAGATCACCGAGTCCGTCGCCACCCTCGTACACGTCTCAGCGGCGGGCTTCGCTCCGGCATGCTTCGCGCCGGACATCGTGCAGCACCACGTCGTCGACCACACGAAGGGGGAGGAGGACTCAGCGCCGAGGAACGTCCTCGTCGAGTCCGCGCGCATCGCGCGTGGGCAGATCGCGCCGCTCACCTCCCTCGACCCGACGGAATATGCGGCGCTCATCGTGCCAGGCGGATTCGGCGCGGCCAAGAACCTGTGTAACCACGCGACGGTGGCGCAGGGCGACGCGGCGCTGATGGCGGTCGAGCCGTCGCTCGAGACCGCGATCCGCGCCTTCCACGCCGCCAAGAAGCCGATCGGCCTCTGCTGCATCGCTCCCGTGATCGCGGCGCATCTGCTCAAATGTGAGGTTACGGTCGGACAGGCGGAGGGCGAGCAATGGCCGTACGGCGGCACGGCGGGCGCGATCGAGAATTACGGTGGCGTTCATCGCCCGACCGACTGGAGCGGTGTTTGCGTCGACGACGCCAACAATGTGGTCTCGTCGGCGGCGTATATGTACGATGGCAAGCCGCACGAGATCTTTGAGTCTGTGGGCGCGATGGTGGCGGCCGTCTGCGAGCGCGCCTGATCGTCGTGTCTTTCGATCTGTCGACGCACTGATCTCTGATATGTGGCCATGTTTGATTGAGTGACGGATAAAGTCGTGTGAAAGAGCTGTGAAAGCGAAAGTAGCGAAATTAATTGCCCGCCGCAGGCGAAGAAAATTTCAGGGTTTTTGGTCCCCTACGCCAAAGAAATCGAAGATTTCGGCGGGCGCCCGACGCGCGGTATGGAGCACGCGCGCTGCCCGGCATGCCTGCAGCATCCAAACGAGACGCACGGCGTCGCTCAGCCGTGTCCACGCGGCTTCGTTCCTGTCCTAACCGGCGCCATCTGGGCGGCTGCTGCGGAGCTGCTGCCGGCGGTGCGGCAACTGGCCGACAGATACAACGCTCAGGGCACCCGCCGGCAATTCACTGGAAAGGAATGAAGGCGCCGCTGTCGGCGATTCACCGCCGTTCGTTCCCGTCTCTCAAGCTGGCTACACCGTCCATGGACGAGGGAGACGTCGCCTCCTCTTTCGTCCCGGGCACTGTTCGCGCCGGAAGGCACCGTACACTGCGAAGTACATTGGCCTTCATCCCTCCTACCGCCGGCCGGGAGTGCAGCCTTCGCCATCGCTGAGTGAGATTATCCTCGACTTTGGCACCTGCGAAGTAATGAACAACATGCAGTACGTCATGTGCAATGGCGCTATGACAGCCCTGCGATGGGCGTCCTCGACGCAGACGAGGCGGAGCTCATCTGCGCGGCGCAGATCGCCGACTTTCTCTCTCTCCCTGCGCGAGTGACTGCGCCACCGTGGATGAGGCATATGGGCTGAGCAGGGGAGATGGTAGAGGAGGTTGACTGAGGGCGCGAGGCCGCCAATCGTCACAGTCTGCTGCTGACTGTCGGTCGCTGACTGGTTGCGCATCGCGCTGGCCGCGCAGCGGCCTTTAGAAAATTTTGGCCGCAGGCCTAGGTTTTGAAAGATCAAGAGAATAAGCGCGGGTGAGGCTTTGAGAAGCTGCCGTTTGCGGCTTCCTAAGTCAACTTTTCGAGAGGAACGTTTTGGCTAAGCTAGAACTTCTCCAAAATCGCGCGATCATCGAGTTTTGAGTCAATAATTATGAAAGGAAAGGGAGAGGGAGAGTTCTAGCTTAGCCGATCGATTCAGCGTGCTCTGAAACGCCCAAAACCGTCGAGTCTTTCGCCGTGGTCCAAATAGAGAGCTTAATATTTTGATTTTCTTGGCCACGGCCACGATTACCCGTCACTCGCTCGTTTATTTTTTGTCGGAGTCTGTGGAGACTGGAGTGTGTGTGTGGTGTATCGCGTGTGGTGAAAACAAGAAGGAGGACGAAAACGCCATGGTGAACAGGTGAACGCGGCCGCGCGCGCGAGCCTTCAAAGTTCACAATAAACAAATAACAAAATCCAGCCTCCCCCAGCCCCTGCAGGATCTCGCACGCCGCCCGGCAAGCGGAATGCAGACGGACCTTCATGTTACACTCCCCGCACGCCGCAGACGGGGCGCACTGTGGCCGCGAGATCACAGCCACTACTTCTTCACGCGTATGCCCGGCACGTTTGGCTCCAGCATCGGCTTTGTCCCAATGTCCACCGGCTTGGGCCTCGCCTGCAGAAACTCCGCCACGCGCGGCGTCGCCTCGACCGCCGCCATGAAGGTGCGCACCTCCGGGTAAGCGTCGAGCGCGGCGGGCTCGAGCAGCCGTGCGTTGTCGAGGTTGTGGTAGAGCATAAAATCGCACCAGCGCGGCGCCGCGCCGCAGGAGAAGGGGCCCTCGCTCTCGCGCAGCTGCCTCGCCAGCCGCGCAAGCTTGGCCGGGAAGCTGTCGAAGAACGCCGCCTATGAATGAAAACGCACACCTATGTAAGCCATCGGTTGCTAAGCAGTGGAAGTCCTCGAAGCAGGCCGCCTTCTTCGCGTCAAAGGCCTCGCCGCGAAACACATTCACGATCGGGTTGACGGCGTCGAGCTCGCGCGCCGCCTCGAAGATCATGTCGCACCTCGCAGCCTCAAGCGGTTCGGCCGGCACGAGCGCAGGCACGAGCGCGGCGCAGTAGCGGATGATCGCGCCAGCCTGGGCCAGCTCCTGCGGCGCGGAGACGCGTCGTGTGTGGGAGGCTTCGTGGCGGTCGGCGTGCGTGCGAGGCCGTCTGCCTTGCCGTCGACCAGGAGCAGCGGCAGCTGACCGAACGGCGTCTTGTCCTTGGCGTCCTTCCAAGGCACGCCGTAGGCCTGCTGGGGAGATGCGTCTTCGTACGCGACGCCGCCGAACTCGAGAATCATCCTCGCGGGCTCCGCCAGCGCCCGGACCGGGAAGTAGATCATCGTGAGCTGTGGTGCTGCCGCGCTCTCGCAGACGCTGGCGGGCTGCGAGAGTCCTCGCCGAGCGGCCTCACCAGCAAATGTGCCTGCCGCCACGAGTAGAGACGGGCGGGCGAGCCGGTGTACCGACTTGAGGAGCATTTGAGCCGAGCGGTCGCCGAGCGATTGATGCCAGCTGCGTGGCGGGCGGCAGCGGCGGTGGCGGCGGTGGTGGCGGCGGTAGCACGGCCGCGCGGGTTTTCTTTTCAGGGCGCACTCCCCCCACCACGGTAGCGCGCCCAACACAAGAGTGACGGAGATGCTTGCCACGAGCACCGTGACGCCCGACCCTGTGAGCACCGTGGGCGTATACGGCTGCATACGGTGAGATGATGCACAGCATGGCCAGACGAGGGAAGCAAGGCTCGCCAGCTGTATGTTAGTGAGGCATATGGATGTGATCAACATGTGTGCGTCACAGGTACCGCAGCAGCGCATGTAGCCATCGAAGACAGCGCAAACAGGTCTTTTTGCGCCACGCACCCGATGGCCGTGCTGGTCCAACTGCGTGCACAGGAATGCTATCAGCGCGTCTCCGCCATAACTGGATTTTTAGCAATACCAAACAACTCTAACACTCACACGCTCTCTAACTGGACATGGCAATGAAGCAGCTGAGACGTGATAACACCGGTGCTGGGCCAAGGAGGTGCCGCTCACCGCAAAACATCAACAACGCGACCGTACATACGAGTAGCCAACGACAGGGTGATTGAGTCTTACGGGGGTGCTATATCACTTGTGTCGAACCCCACTGGGAGACCTCTGATTCGGGCGTGTAGCTCTGCTGTAGCGCTCCCACAGTAAGATACTACCAAATCCCACCAAATCCCACTGCCCACTAGGTGTGCGGGCGCGTCGGGAGGCGCGGTAGTGCGGGATTTGGTAGGGGAGTGCCACCAACGCATATCGATCGCGAGTCAAACAGGAGCCGCCGCAGCGTAGGAGGGACCTGGACAACACAGTTTACAGGAAGACCCTCCACCCCCCCTCACTCTCTACGGGACCCTCCGACCCTCACCCCTGTGGAGCCCCAAGCAAGTCAAAGAAAGAAAGAAAGAAAACAGACAACCCAAGGGAGGGATTGGAGGACGGCACGCCGCCACCACACAGGGATTTTTAAGGAGAGGTGTGTGGTGCCAAGCAAGTCACCACCACTGTGCACTGTCCGACGTCATCTTTTCCCAGTGAGGTTCGACACAAGTGCTACATATATGTTTCCTAAAAACTGTCTGTAAATAAGGCCAGTCTACCTATGACTCGCGCACGTCGGCATCACCCCCGCGCTGGCTGCTTTTCTCTTCATAGGGCGCGGTCGTTTTGCTCCAATAGCGTTTTGCTCCAATATTTGCTCCAATAGGGGCAAAGCAGGGCACCCGCAGCGTGAGAACCCTAATCAACTTCGTCGCAGGCGTCATGATGCTCGCGCCGGCATTCGCTCTCGTGCTTGGATTCGCCACGACCCCGGAGCCTGGCTCGGACCTGTTCGCTGGGTACGCCATCTACGACCGCTTCACGGACAGCATTCCCGCAGACTGCGTGTATGAGGCGGTCACTGACATGGGTACGCAGGTGCCCGATTACTGCTGCACGGACGCTCCCTCCCCAGCGGTCGGCGCCCTCCCGTTCAGCCCGGCAGAGAACGGAATCCCTGGGGACGACTATTCGGACTACACATGCGCGCCATTGGCCGTTTTCCCAGACCCGGCACCCTACATTCGCAGCTACTTGGGATGCGTGGACTCTTCGGTCCAGTTTGGCGAGCTTTGTGTCCCTGCGGATCTGGAGTTTGGAACGACCTACCCCATGACCACTGACATGGCGGCCACGAAGTACACGAACGACGTCGACTCGGCCGCGACGTGCGGCTGCCAGGCCGTGTACTCGGGCCCAGGCTGCTACTCGGCTGCGCAGCCCTTCCTGCTCCTCGCCGACGGTTCGGCCGAAGTTTACTTCGCTCACATCTCTGGAACTTGCTGAAGTGCACAGGAAACGAGAACAAGCACGCCCTTCTCCACGGCATCCATTGCTAGGAGCTCGCTGTCACCTACGTAGTACGACCACCGACGAGCGTGCCCTTCGCGGGAGACGGGGGATGGGGGGGGGGCGAGGGGGGAACAAGGGAGGGGTGCGGGGTGCGAGGTGGTGGCGCAGACGCTGTGCGTGACCCGTTCAGAGCATGTGTGACCCCCCCGTTTCACGTGACGTGTCATCCGTTTTAGTAACCCGTCCATAAACATCTCCGCAGTCGCCCCTCAACACATCTCTCACGCTGCCGACGCCTCCCCACGCGCAGCGGCCGCGGGCGGCGACGGGATCGGGTAGCGTCCATCGCCTTCTCGAGCACCTCGCAGTGCGCCGCGTTCCATCCGTCCTCGACGCGCAGGTCGGTCGCGTTGAGGACGATCTGCCGCTGCGTCGCCGCGTCGTACGCCGGCCACGACGGCAGCGACGGCAGCGTCGCCTCCACCGTGCCGCGGCTCCTGCCGCCGCCGCGGCTGGTGGCATTGGGCGGCAGCGGGTTGGGGTCGGCGCTCGCGGCGAAGTTTGTCCAGTAGCGCACGATCGCGTCGGAGAGCGCGGCGAGCTGCGGCGTGGCGCGCGCCTCGTCCGCCGCGAAGACAAACGGCAGCTCGGCCGAGTGCGCGACGCCCACGTACGGGTTGGTGCCGGCGTACGCCGCGTAGTCGAACCGGTACGGTAGACGTACGCGTCCGCCGCGGCGCGCTTGGCGCCACAGAACATCTGCAGCCCTTGGCGCCACAGAACATCTGCAGCCCCGCCGCGAGGGCGCGCGCCGCCCACCACGGCGACTGCGACGACGCGACGTCGAGGTACGCCCTGCGCGCCTGCGCGGCGTGGACCGCGTCGAAGACGCCGAAGCGGATCCACTGCGTCCAGAACGAGCCGTCCACCCAGCGGTCGTAGCCCTGCGTGGAGAGCGTGTGCGCCACGTTGTCGCCGCAGCACTCGCGCAGCCCCGAGTCGTCCGCCTTCGGCTTGTTGGGGAAGAGGCAGCTGCCGAGCAGCAGCGGCACGTCGGCCACCTCCACCACCGGCGGCGCAGCCACCACGGCCGCCGCCCTGGCCGCGGCACGAGCCCCACCCGCCTCCTCCACCACGACGCTCGCGTCCTCATCCTCGTCATCGTTCGCCTCGTCGTCGAGGGCGTCGAGGGCGTCGGCGGCCACCGCCTCGGCCGAGCGGTTGGCGTCGATGGCAAAGTACGGCGCCACCGGCAGCGCGACGCCGTCCACCACCGGCGCCCACTGCAGACCAAACCACGAGGGCGGCACCGCCCGGGTCGCCGCGGCCTGCACGTCCTTCCACGGCTTGGCGAGCAGGCACGCGACCGGGTCGCTCTTCAGGTCGCAGCCGAGCTCGGTCGCGAGGTAATCGTACTGCCCCTGCCCGATGGCGCGCGGCATCGCGTTCCAGCGCGAGAAGGCGCCCGACTCGGCGATCGCGCGGTCGAACAGGCCGCGGCTGTCCGGCTGCACGTAGTGGTTGGCGATGCTGCCCGCGCCCGCGCTCTGCCCGAAGATCGTGACGGACCCAACGTCGCCGCCGAAGACCGCCGCGTTGGCACGCACCCACTTGATCGCCGCGCGCTGGTCCTGAATCCCGTAGTTGCCCGTCGAGCGGTCTGGGTCGCGGGCCCGCATTGCTGTGCCGCCCAGGAAGCCGAAGGCACCGAGCCGATAGTCGAGGGTGACGACGACGACGGGGTTGCCGAGCGCAGCCGCGCGCTCGGCCATCGACGCGCCGTCGTAGTTGGACGCACAGCCGATGACGTACGCTCCCCCGCGCGGATGATCGCGCCAGCCTGGGCCAGCTCCTGCGGCGCGGATACGCGTCGTGTGTGGGAGGCTTCGTGGCGGTCGGCGTGCGTGCGAGGCCGTCTGCCTTGCCGTCGACCAGGAGCAGCGGCAGCTGACCGAACGGCGTCTTGTCCTTGGCGTCCTTCCAAGGCACGCCGTAGGCCTGCTGGGGAGATGCGTCTTCGTACGCGACGCCGCCGAACTCGAGAATCATCCTCGCGGGCTCCGCCAGCGCCCGGACCGGGAAGTAGATCATCGTGAGCTGTGGTGCTGCCGCGCTCTCGCAGACGCTGGCGGGCTGCGAGAGTCCTCGCCGAGCGGCCTCACGAGTAGAGACGGGCGGGCGAGCCGGTGTACCGACTTGAGGAGCATTTGAGCCGAACGGTTCGCCGAGCGATGGATCCCCAGCTGCGTGGCGGGCGGCAGCGGCGGTGGCGGCGGTGGTGGCGGCGGTAGCACCGGGTGGGGTGAGCTCGCGTTTTTCTTTTCAGGGCGAATCGACCGACCACGTGAGCGTCCGGCCCGCCACCTTGACGCCGTAATCTCCTTGACACAGACAGGGACGGCCGTACTTTGCGCGTGCGCGCGGCCTGGCATGCGCGCGATGACCTCGCCCGAGCAACCAGCCGACAGTGGGCCTGCCCAGCCTTCTTCTGAGCCATCCCCAGAGACTCCCTCCGCTGCCGTCGGCCCCGCAGTCCCGGCCGACATGCCCGCCGCAGGGCCTGCGCACACGCCACAAACGCCAGTTCAACAAGCCGCAGGTTTGGCAGCTCTGGGCGGGAGTCAGCCGGGCTCGCTGCCAGCTCCCACCACGAACTTGCCACCACCGTCAGCCCCTGCCGCTCTCTCCGCCAGCACCATCGCTCCCGGCGCCTCCAACCCATCCTTCAACCAATGCAGCGACAACCACACGAGCTCCATCCTGCATCCTGCTGCTGATGCACCAACCACCACCGCCCTTGCTGTCAACTGCTCATCTCCTACTGCTGGACACGCTACTCCATTCCTTTGCGAGCCACCTCCTCGTGCCGCAGCGCCTGAACCGTCCACGTCCACTGAATGCTCCTCGCAGTCCAACCTGCAGACGCAGTTGCCACCTGATTGGCGCCATCTGGCTGCCTCTTCAACTCTCAACCCTGGAGCTGCGCCATTCCAGCCGACCTTCCCTCAGAGCCCCCAACACCGACCCCGCGGCCCCAACTTCACCGCCGGCTGCCCACTCTGGTGTACCAACTGCGTGCAACGCTTCTCTTCCAGAGCACAACTTTGGGATCATCTCAAACACTGCCGGCCAACAGCCACACGCCCCCTCGCTACCACTTTGAAGCGGAAACGAGACAACCCCCCTCCCGCCCTGGGACCTGCACCACTGCCCGTTCTCACCTATGCAGACGCTGCCACCGCTCCCCCCGCCAAACGCCACCAATCCATCCACAACAGCGCCAGTGGAACCACAATCCCCACGATCGCCCTCCCTGATGGCACAATTTACTATGATACCCGACCCCCTTCCCACACTCCTGCCATGGAATATGCTGCCAACCTCCGCCGTGCAGACACGATCCAGCAGTTTGGCTGCCACCACCTCACCAAATAACCCCCCCCCCCCTCCTTGCGAGCACGAACCATCCCCCACCATCTCCTCCTCATGCCCCACTTTTGCCCCTGCCCTCCCTTGCGCCCCTCACCCAACAACCACCCAATCCCCACACACATCAACATTTAGCGGCCCGTGCACTGTGATGTGAGGCTTCACTGTACAATTAATAATAAGCCGGATAAGGCTTCGGCCACCGAGGCTTCGGCCACCGAGGCTTCGGCCAACGAGGCTTCGGCCAACGATATTATTACTGCTCCAGGCTCCCCCCCCCCCCCCGGCCCCCGCCCCCCCGCCCCCCCACCCCCGCCCCCGCATTGGCACTTGCACTCGCACTCGCACTCGCACTGGCACTCGCGCTCTGCCCCCCCCCCCCTGCCCGCGCCCCTTCTCCCCTCACCCTCCGCCCTCCCTTCCCCGCGGCCCGACCCGTCCTTTAAGGCTTTGGCCACTGAGGCTTCGGCCACCGAGGCTTCGGCCAACGAGGCTTCGGCCAACGAAACAAAAAAAAAATCCTCGCCCTCCGCCCGCCCTTGCCTCCGCCCAGCCCTCCGCTCTCCGCTCTCGCCCTCCGCCCTTGCCCTGGCTGGCCTGGGTGGCATCTCCTCATCATCACGCGCCAAGTGGGAGGGAAGTGGACGGGGCCCTGAGCCGACCTAGCCCTAAACGGAATGGGGCGCCCAACACGGTGCCGGATTACTGTGCCTTCCCCGGGTGCAGCCTTTCGGCTCGTGAAGGGTCGGTGCGTGTCGTGACCCCCTGGAACACCCGTACTCTCCCGCGCCATCTCCGTCGCCCTGTTCGGCTGCGGCCTTACCACCAAGATCGGGAGGCGGCCAGGGCTCATAGACTCGGTCGAGAGACCCCAGATTGGCATCCATGCCTCTCTGGACAGGGTGGCCCGCCACAACGACCCCTGGAATTGCGACTCGCCGCTTTCCTCCCGCTGTGATTCTGTGTGAGCTCTGTGTCTTGATTTGCCAACAATATACCTACATCTCCTTGAGAGAACCCCAGAAAAGAAAAATTGGCGGCGCGCCCAACACAGCGCCGCGCCGAGCAATAAAATGGCCTCCCCGACTCGCGCTCTGTGGCTGCGGCTGCGCAACATGCCCGTCCTCCGTATGCTGCAGCTCGAGGAGGCCATCTTTCGCACCGACACGCGCAGCTGGTTCATCACCAACACCTGGGATGCGCCGCCCACCAGCGCCGGCCCGGAGCGCGACGCTGCGCACGCCGCGGCTCAGTCGGTTGTGCTGGGCATCTCTGGCAAGCCAGCCGAGATGCTCAACACCGAGGAGGTGCTGAAGGCCGGCGTGCCGGTCATCAAGCGCTTCTCCGGCGGCGGCACAATTATCTCTGACGCCGGTGGAACGCTCAAACACGTAGCCCTCACCTCTCGCGCCAACACCGCCGCTGCCCGTGCCGCTCGCGGCGTTGCCCACCCCGCTGCGCCCCCTGCCGCACCAGACACGCTCTTCGCGACCTTCATCTGCGCCGCCGACGACGAGCCTCAGGCGTCACCCCACCAAGACACTTCCTAGACGCTTCCTAGACGCTTCCCAGGCTAGACACGACGAGCCTCAGGCGTCGCCCGACCCGTCGGGGCATGTCCAGGACGCGTCCGTGACATGTCCGAGACACGTCCCGCAGGTGCCCCCCTACCCGGACCCGATCCTAGACTGGACGTCCTCCGTGTACGACGCCGCACTGCGCGGCTGCGGCGCGACCAACTTTGCGGTGCGCGCAAACGACTACTGCTTCGCGACCGAGGAGGGCGACTTCAAGTTTGGCGGCAACGCGCAGTCCATCTCGGGCAAGCGCTGGCTGCACCACACCTCCCTGCTCTGGGACTATGAGCCAGCGAGGATGGGTCTGCTGCGGATGCCTAAGCGCCAGCCCGCTTACCGCGCGCAGCGGTCGCACGGCTCATTTGTGCGCGGCCTCTCGCAGACGCTGCCCTCGCGGGACGCGTTTTGCGCCTCCCTCGCCGCCGCCGCGGGCGCGACGTGGGAGCTGACGCCGGTGGAGCTAGAGGAGGCGCAGGCGGCGCTCAGCTTGCCGCACAGACAAGTGACGAGGCTACTTAGACCGGAGGAGGTGTGTTGAGGGGAGCCGGGTCCAGAAAAGGGGCGTGTGCCAGGGCAACGGCCCTTGCGTCAGCGGCGCCGCGACGTTGGTGTCGAGTGCCGCCGCGGGCGCGCATTGCGGGTGCCGCATGTGTCCGCGCGAATTTCGTCAGTCGCCTCGCCCGAGAGGAGGGTGTGCGGGTGCATGCCCGGGCCGTGAGGGCTGGCTGAAGGGCCGCGTCGGGCGGCCGCCCGCATGCGACTTTGAGAGAAGCGGCCTCGTTCACGACTCTCAAGAACGACGCTGAAGGGACGTCCGAAATTCGGCGCACAATGCTCATTCCGACGCCCGCCACATGACGCCCACCGCAGCCGCGTTGGTCGGCGCGCGCCGCCGCCGACCATCACCACCGACCAACGGCTCGCACGGCCGTGCGGTGAGCAAAAATTTGGGTCGCTGCGCGCCTGCCAGATGCTCTGCGACGTCTGGACGCTCGCCAGAAACGCCAGGAAGCTTGCCTTCCACCCCTGGGCCCGAGGGCGAACGGCAGTGGTCGGCAGCCTCTGCGACGCTCCGATCGGCTCCTCGACCTCATCGCTTGCGACGAGCCAGCATGGCTCGTCGCTCGACGGCAGCCTGCTCAGTATGCTCTTGGCATTCTGTACAGCCTCGCCAGGCTCTCTGAGACGGCCTGCAGGGCCGGCGCGGACCGCCTCGGGCGCGATGGCCCTCCTCAGTACCTACCTCTTTGATGCCTGTCGGCTCTCCAATCTCGTCGCCGGCGGCAGGCCCGCATGGCGCGCTGCTCGATGGCAGCCTGCTCAGTACGCCTTGGACAGTGACTTCTGCCTCGCTGCTCTTACTGCAGCCGCCTCCGGGACCGGCGCCGGCCGCCACGCCTCGCCAGTGCTGTCTACGCCTGCGACACGCGTGTCGGCTCGCCGCCCGCGTCGCCCGCGGCGGGCCCGCATGGCTCGCCGCTCGTCGGGAGCGTTCCCAGCAGGCTGTGCAGGGCAATCTGCCTCACTCAGGGCGCCGCCGCCGCTGCGCGGGGCCGCCACCGGCGCCGCTGCCGTGAACACTGCCGCCGTGTACGTCACCATCGCCTCTCTTCGTCGCCGATCTCGCCGACGCCGCTCGCCGCTCGCCGCCGCCCTGCCCTGCCCTGCCCTCGCACAAACAACGAACACACACACACACACACACA